CCTGTAGAGGCAGTGGGATGTGTGAATCCCTGTGCAAGCACTGGGATGTGTGTGTGTGTCCCCTGTGGAACTGCCAGGGCAGTGGGATGTGTGTGTCCCCTTGGAAGCTGTGTTGTCCCTGCTTGAGGCAGTTTCATTGGGATAAGGAGGACATGGCTCACTAGCCCCAGCTGGTATTTTCCTCCGTGCACTCTGGGATGGTTTGTCCTCTCCTCCCCTCCTCATCCCCTTGCTTCCCATGCCTTCCTCACTTGTTGGAGCAGGAATACACGGTGTGTGCTCAGGCTGGTCGTGTTTCCCTTGGGCACAGCTCTGCAGACCCTCCAGCAGCCTGGCTGCAGGATCTCCTTGAAACAGAATCAGTGGTGTTGCCCTGGCTGTGGCTGAGGGGGAGCCTGAGCTGCCCTGAGCTGCCCTTGTGCTGTCCCTGCTGTCCCTCAGGAGGGAGTCCCGGAGGAGACCGATGACTTCGGCGAGTTCCGCATGCGTGTCTCGGACCTGGTGAAGGACCTCATCTTCCTCGTGGGCTCAGTGGAGTGTTTTGCTCAGGTGGGTTTGTGGGAGTGCAGTGGGGTGCAGGCAAATGCCAGGGGACGTCACCGAGCCCTGGTGGCCTTTGGGACTGCAGGAGGTCACACACACCTTGTGCACAGGGAATTGTGTGGTGGGAGCTGTTCTGGGAGAGCAGGAGGTGTGGGAGCACCAGGAGGTTCCTGACATGTTGGGGAAAGCCACTGTGGTCCCACAGTGTGGAATGTGGGGATTCTGTGGGCCCACAGCTGGGGTGGGTGGGATTGGTGAGGGGTGGGAGTCTGGGGATGGGATGGGTGAGGGGTGGAGTTTGGGGCTGGGATGGGTCAGGATCAGGGCCGTGGGGCTGGGATGGGTCAGGATCAGGGCCGTGGGGCTGGGATGGGTCAGGAGCAGGGCCAAGGGGCTGGGATGGATCAGGATCAGGGCTGTGGGGCTGGGATGGGTCAGGAGCAGGCCGTGGGGCTGGGGTTGGTGCTGGGGCTCCTGGCCCCTCGGTGACCGTCCCTCCCACAGCTCTACGCGACGCTCAAGGACGGGAACCCGCCCTGGGAGGTGACAGAGGCCGTGCTCTTCATCATGGCCTCCATCGCCAAGAGCGTCGACCAGTGAGTCCTCCCTGTGTCTGGGGGGCTGGGGGCTAGGGCTGCCTCCCTGTGACACAGACACCACAGATACCCCAAGGACATTCCCATCCCTGGCAGTGCCCATGGCCAGGTTGGAACAAGCTGGGACTGTGGAAGGTGTCCCTGCCATGGCAGGGGTGCCGCTGGAGGGGCTCTGAGGTCTGTTGACACCCAAACCATTCACTGGGAATCCTTCCACATCCAGGTGGAGTTTTCCTAGGTATTCTTATGGAAGGTTAAGTCACTGGAAGTGTTTCCTCCTGTGTTAGTGGCAGTGGAAGTGTGGACAGGTGACACCCAGGGTGGTGAGCCCACAGCGAGTCCTGTGCACTGCCAGCAGTGGGACAACCCAGCTGACCTTCCTGGGCTTGGAATGCTGTCCCTCCCACCCCTGGGACTCTGGGATCCCCATCCCTCTCTTCCCGGGGAGGCTGTGATTGCCGTCACTCCTTTTCCCAAGGAGGCTGGTGACACCATCCTTCCTTTGCTCGTGAGGCTGGCAATCCTATCCCCTGCTCCCAGGCACCTGGAGGAGTCACCTCAGTCCCTTCACACCACCCGCTCCTGTTATCTGTGTTGAGACTGCTCCTGCTCGCTTTTCCAATGCCTTGTTCCCAGGAGTGCTGGCTGGAAGCTCTGCCCCCACCAGCCTGGGATCACCCATCACACCCTCCTACAGTGGTGGGCTCAGTTCCCAGATAATCAGTCTCCCAGATAATGAACCCCCTGGTTTTCCTGTCCTCCAGCAGTGGTGGGGCTCAATTCCCAGATATTGAACCCCCTGGTTTTCCTGTCCCCCAGTAGTGGAGGGGCTCAATTCCCAGATAATGAACCCCCCTGGTTCTCGTCACCCCCAGCAGTGGAGGGGCTCAGCTCCCAGATAATGAACCCCCTGGTTGTTGTGTCCCCCAGCAGTGGTGGGGCTCAGTTCCCAGATATTGCACCCCCTGGTTCTCCTGTCCCTCCGTAGCGGTGAGGCTCAGTTCCTAGATAATGAACTCCCTGGTTCTTGTCTCCCCCAGCAGTGGTGGGGCTCAGTTCCCAGGTGATGAACCCCCTGGTTCTTGTATCCCCCAGTAATGGTGGGGCTCGGTTCCCAGATAATGAACTCCCTGGTTCTCTCCCCCAGCAGTGGTGGGGCTCTCCCTGGAGGCATTCTGTGTTCCCTGCCCGTTCCCCACTGTGGCACTGGTGTCCATGGGGCTGAGTCCCCCCCTCACAGGGTTTGTCCCGGTGTGCTCCCAGTCCCGTGTCACGCTCAGAGTCCCTGTGAGGCGAGGCAGAGGGTCCGGCAGCCCCTCGCAGCCCGTGCGGGCGCTGAGCCGAGGCTGTCCCGCAGGGAGAACAACCCGACGCTGGTGGAGGTGCTGGAGGGCGTGGTGCGGCTGCCCGAGTCGGTGCACACGGCCGTGCGCTACACCAGCATCGAGCTGGTGGGCGAGATGAGCGAGGTGGTGGACAGGAACCCGCAGTTCCTGGGTGAGTCCCGCGCCCCCGCCGCGCCCCCATGGCCCTGGCACCCCCGCTGCACTGAGCCCCTGTCTCCGCAGATCCCGTGCTGGGCTACCTGATGAAGGGGCTCTGTGACCGGCGCCTGGCGTCGGCCGCGGCCAAGGCCATCCACAACATCTGCTCCGTGTGCCGGGACCACATGGCCCAGCACTTCTCGGGGCTGCTGGAGATCGCCCGCGCCCTCGACTCCTTCGCGCTGTCGCCCGAGGCCGCCGTGGGGCTGCTCAAGGGTGGGTATCATCCCCGGGCCCTGGGGGTTATCCTGGGAGCTGCCAGGGATGATCCATGGGAACTGCTGGGTATCCATGGGAGTTGCTCCCCAGGGTGTTGAGCCCCATCCTCGTGGCGTTTGTCGTGATGGACCCCAAGTCCCATTCCACGTGCAGAGCATCCTCAGGAGTTCCTCTGGGGCTGGAGGCAGAAATAAATCCTGTATTGGTAACTGTCCCCATGCCTGAGACAGAGCTCAGGGACTGTCCTGGGCTGGATATGTGGGAAGAGTGTGTGGGAAATGCTGAGAGCCAGGCTGGCAGTGGGTCACTGCTCCATCCAGACTCTGGGAATCACCTGCTGGACACAGAGGGTGGAGGTTTGGGAGTATTGGTCATTCTTTAAGAGAGTTTGGGCTCAAGAACGGAGATTTTTAACTTAGGGTGTTGGTGTCTCACTGGACTCTTGGGCACCATAAGCCTCCTCAACCACAGATGGTTTTGGGGATATGCCTTGAAGATTTTCAGTGAATTGCAGTGCTGCTGGAGCCTTTATCCCCAGAGCCAGGGAGCCTTCCCTGCAGTTGTGTGCTCTCATGGGAGACTAAACTCCCGTTGTTCCCCTGGATGCCCCAGCACTGGCTGAGCTGCTCCTCTCCCTGCCAGAGGGTTTTGTCCTCCTCCCTTAGAACAAGCCAGGAATTCCCGAGCCAGGGAGGTTTCCCCCCGGGGTGGTTGGCACCAGAGCCAGATCCTGGCTGTGCCAGAGCTGGGAGTGAGCTGCTGCCTGTGGGAGCGGGAGCAGCTCAGCGCTCCTCGTGTTCCATGGCTGGGAGCCCTGAAGCACCTTCCCTGGAGATTCCCAGGATCTCATAGTGCTGCTGGACTGGGATGGGGACACTGGGGACACGTGGTGAGCCCAGATGTGCTTGGGGATCTGTTGGCCTGTCCCTGTCTCTCACACCAGCATTGTTCCCTGCTGGGACTAAAACGTTTCGGTGTCTGGTTCAGCTGCAGGGAAACTCCCAGGCCCTGCCCCTGTCCCACAGCCCTTCCCTGTGGGAGTGTGATGGCCCCTCCACCCTCCCTGCTCCTGAGCCGTGTGTGTCCTTGCAGGCACGGCGCTGGTGCTGGCCCGGCTGCCCCTGGAGAAGATCTCGGAGTGCCTGAGCGAGCTCTGCGCCGTGCAGGTGCTGGCGCTCAAGAAGGTGCGTTGGGATGGGGGCACAGCAGCTGGGAGGGGACACTGGGGACAGTGAGGACAGTGGCCAGGCCCCAGCCTTGCTACAGCAGCTGTGTCCTCAGAGCCAGAGGTGTATCCTAGAGTAATGGAGTTGTTTGGGTTGGAGAAGCCCCTGGAGTCCAACTGTTCCCCAGCACAGCCAGAGCCACCACAGCTGTCCCACACAGCTTCTAATCCCTTTGGGGATGGGGACTCCACCCCTGCCCTGGGCAGCTGTGTGAGGGCCAGGAATAATTTCCCCAGTATCCAGCCTGACCCTCCCCTGGCACAGCTTGAGGCCATTCCCTCTCATCCTGTCACTTGTTCCATGGGGCAGGGCCCAGCGCCCACACAGGACATGGCCAGGACTGAGCCCTTCCCTGATCCCACCTGAGGAGCTGCTGCTGGTGGGGTCAGTGTCCAGGCAGTGTCTGCCCAGGGCTACCTATGCTCCTGGAATCCTATCCTGTTGCCTTGTTCTCCAGCTGCTCTCCCAGGAGCCAAGCAATGGCCTCTCCTCAGACCCTACAGTGCCCCTGGATCGACTCGCCGTCATCTTCAGGTGAGGAAGGAGCTGGGGCGCTGCTGCTCCCCCAGAGCCTGACTCTGCACTGCCCCCTTCTCCCCAGCCCTGGTGGAAGTCTCTGCTTCCCCAGCTTCCAGCTCCTGACGTGCCCCCCAAGCCAGTTCCTGTTCCACTTCCCACAGCTCCAACCTTTTCCTTGGCTGTAATCCCAAACCCCCTTAACCCTTGGCTGTTCCCACAGACACACCAACCCCATTGTTGAGAACGGCCAGGTCCACCCGTGCCAAAAAGTCATTCAGGAGGTGCGTGGAGAGGGCTGGGATCTGGGGACAGGGTTCTGTGGGGGGTTTTGGGGTGGGGGTTTCCTGGGTGTTTAGGTTTATGGGGGTACCAGGGTGTTGTACAGGGTCCCAGTTCCTGCCTGCCAGTGGATCCATGTGTCTGCCCAGGGCTGCACGCGAGGGGAGCTGTGGGGTTCCTGTCCCTCCTGGAAGCAGGGATTGGGGTGTGGAGGGGGAAATCTGAGGCTTCAGCCCTCTGGAAGGGGCCCTGGCTCTGGGAATGGCCCCGGTGTTTGATTTCCCTGCCCGTGTCCCGTTTGCCACGCTGCACTGGAGGGGATGAACCCCCCCAGGCTCCCCAGAAACCTTTCCTCCCCCATGTGCCATCCCTCCCTGGGATCTGGGTGCTCGGGGGGCCGGGAGGGAGCGGGCAGAGTGTCCCTGGTGAGGTGTGACCCCTCCTCGTGTGCGTGCCCAGATCTGGCCGGTGCTGTCGGAGACCCTGAACAAGCACAGTGCCGACAACCGCATCGTGGAGCGCTGCTGCCGCT